ATACGGCGTCGCTTTGTTTGTCGTACAATTGCATGGAGCCGCCGGCCGCCGTGCAAACGTGTCCGGCCAGCGCCGGCGCGCCGCTGTCCCGGCCGCCGTGGCAGTGTCCTATACTGAAAGGCAGCAGCTCCTCCACCCCATGAACGTACTATAATTAATAGATCATATAGAATTACAGATCTTTTTCCTCTTTCTGGTTTCTGGGTGATTGTGGAAATTTTTACATTTAGTTTTTTCAAGTGGGAATATAGTGTAATTCGTTTGCAATGCTTATCAATTGAACAGTTCATAAGTTTATAGTTGGTTGGATCAGAATCAGAAGAAGTAGAAGTTTGAGATTGATGAATGTTCATGAGATTGATTTAGTTTCAGAAAATAAGAGAGAAATTAGGATGATGAATAAATTGAGATGAGGAGAGAGGTGTGAGAGAGGAGGCAAATTGTAATAAATGAAGAGGGGAAATTTTGTCACGCATACAACCGACGCTGCCGTCGCCACGTCAGCTCTTTTGTACCGTTGCCTCTCTCTACACTCTACACTCTAGAGAGAGATTGTTAAGTATTTACTCAAGTTTATTTTTAGACTATGGTTTCTAATTTGTAACACACAACACGACACCCAATAGGGCATAAATTGAAGTTTTAGGGTACTTCTCAATRGATGCCAAGTTTTGAGAAAAATGCAAGTTTTAAGATATTTAATTTAAGGGGAAGAATATACTCGATCTAGCGTGTGAACTGTGGTTGTTGAACCAATTTATACAATCAAGTCAAATGTGTGATGACAACATTGAGGAATGAATTCAAGCATTTGCACTGTTTCATGTGATCATAAAAGTTGATATTTTGGAGAAGTTTATGACTATTTCTAAAACTCTTGCGGAGATAAATTTCTTTATCAAACGGGATAGAAGAATATAATCTTACGAGAGAGTTTATAAGAAAGCAGAACTCTTCACTTGTGTTGTAAAGTTGTGATACTAATAAGTGGCAGAACATGCCACTGTAAGTCGAGTTGCGGGTTACCACAAGTGGACATGATTAGTTGTTATGCTAAATGAAAGGACTTAACTTTTTTATTTTTGGGATGAAAATTCTGGTAGCATATATATAAACTTGTATTAACTTGTTCATACATAGTACACCATTTTCAGCCAATCCTCTCTCTACCTTCCATCATGTCTCCATAAATTAACCAATAAGCAAACTAAATAATTTTTGTCGCATTGAATAATTTCATGGGGTGAAAATGCAGTATCCAAGGATGCAAGGAACATTATTGACGAGAGAGAGACAGAATAAATGAAAAAAAATACTATCACTAGAATCCAAAGGAAGCAAATATTTCACTTACCAAATTAATAATCTCATCATCTAAAATAAACTGCATTACCATTACACATTACCCATAACACAAGGATCAAAAGAACAAAACCAGCCTTCCTCAGCTAGCTAGCCAAACCAACTAGAAACATACTGAGTTTGGCAATGCACCACAGATTACTAACAGTACCCAAAAAGAAAATAAGAAAAAAGATGATAGAATTCTATGGTGGGGTCAAGGAACAGAAAGAGAAAAGACACTGCAACATAGAATTTTCAAGTAATATTTGCAGCACACAATATCATAGTCTGAAAAGAAAAAAGGGCAGGAAATGCAGATACCTTCACACTTAGCTTTACACGCATGACTCCCATAACACACAGAGGAGGAGAAGGCCGTGGCCTTGGCCTTGACCTTGAGTGCGCACTCACTGACATACCAATCTTAAAAGCTGTTTCTTTAAGCATAATCTTGTTCCTCTTTCTGCTTCTGCTGCCAGGTTTGGTCTACATCTTTGAACCTACGAAACATTTGCACTTTTTTGAACCCCTTTTTTGGTTGCTGAATAAATAATCAAGAGGACCACACTGACCTGTCTGCCTTAACCACAGCCCATCATGCAGTTGGGTTGCATATAGCCATCCATGGTACCACATGTTGGAACCCTGTAAAATTCATCAGTGCAATCTTGACCAAATAATTGAAAGAGGCCTAAAGAGAACATCATTGACACGTTTCAGAAAAGCCTCCTTGAAGATAAATGTGCTGTGTTTAACTTCAAGTGTGTGACATACAGTGATGCCAATAATGTAGAATGCACATTATTCAACGAGAGTTAAGCATGTCCTCCTTTGGTTAGGTGAAGATTTGGATTTGGTTGGTGGGTTGTTTCTTAAAGACTGAATCTCTCATGTTGAGCAATAAGGTACGGAGAGAGATCTCGAATATCATGAGGAGAAATCACAATTGATACTTAATAGCGTGATCTAACAAATGACTACTTTATAAATCTTTTTTAAAGAAAAGTGACATATGTGAAGACTAAAACTAAAGATGGTCTGTCTATGGTGTTTTCTGAATGTTCTGTCATCTGTGTGTGTAACAGATTATCTGGTCCGATGGGAATACAGGTGATTGTTTTATTCAAAAGTGATCATCCAACTTGAAAGATGCTGAGCGGCAGCAGTTCTTGCAGTTCAAGCTCCAAGGCGACCTTGTAAGTTGTAACAGTACATAGCCATATGTTTCTACTTATTTGCAAAATTTTCTCAGATTCACAACCGCATCAAAATTTTACATCCTGTTTTCTCCTGCATGTATAAAAGGAAATTAAAAAAAAAAAAAGATATTGAAGAAGTTTTATTAGAACGACTAATGGCTGCAGAACCATCTATGGGAATATTACCTTAGAACTAAGCACATTGCATGAGATGCGCCAACTGCAACTGATAAAACATGGTAGGAACCCAATCCATCATCTTCGTCTAGAAATTTGACTTCCACAGGACATGGTTGTGCCTCTGGCAGCCCAGGAACACCCAATTGAGAATCCTTGGCATTTCCCCACATGTACAATTTTCCCTCAGCTTTCACAATCCAAAAGCAGAAACTTGTCAGTGTCTTTCAGAGATATGTTTAAAGAAACGATCCGAATGATACGTAAAAGTAAGAGTGTGACTTTTATGCAAAAGCAAGTATTTACCCAAACAAGTTAATAATCAATCTAAATTCTAAAGACTGACTAAACTGTGATGATGACTTCGACTACCTGCCTAACTGCCAGAAGAAAACGACATTGAAATTTAGGAGAGCACCCAAATAATTCATTATTCAATTGTACATGCATAATTGAAGTAGATCACAGTTGGCTTACCTGTTATAGCTGCTGAAGAGGAACCACCACAGGAAATATAGATCACTCGCTGGTCAGCTAGAGCATCAATAACTCTTGGTATTTTTTCATTTTGTATTGAAGAATGGCCCAATTGACCATGCCCACCATAACCCCAGGAAAGTACTTTCCCATCACCTGAGTTAGAATAACAAGAAACATTAACAAACACGAGATGTGAATACAATATCCTCTAAAAGCAAAAACAGTGAGGAACATGTGGTTGCTTCTGCAGTCAATTTACCAGTTAATGCAAGCGAGTGGTATCCGCCACTAGCTATCTGAATGATGGGAGTATCTTCAAGACAAGGAATGGGTTTTGGTTCCCAGCCACCAATCTTATTCCCTCTACCAAGCTCAAAGTTCGTGTTTGCTGCATAAGTTACCAACAGCAAGATATGCAATATTAGTAATGTCGATTAGAAAAGTTTATTCTTCTGCCTAGGGAGAAACTAAGCTCAAACGCTTATTTATACTGGCCAAACCTACACCCCATGGCCTAAGGCCCAGCAACATGGAAGTTGCAACAAAATTCTAAAATTTTAAGCCCAAATGTAGAACACAAGTAAAAAGAGCTAACAAGCTCAGTTTTGTCAACATTATAAGATCCTACACATAGATGTAAGTTCTAATATCCAAGTCACTGCCATAAAAAGAACCCAGGTTTATTAATCACTCTGATAATATCTGTCACTAATTCCACCGAACCAATTTGTGCACTATATCAAAAACAGCCCTAGCAACAGTTCTTTTGCAACAAAAATCAGGCAGCACAATACAGTCATCCGTTGATAGTGACAAGGTGTCACTACCCAAAGAGAAAGACCTATTATTTTAATGCATTCAGTCACATATCTTCCTATATCTATAATGCTTTTTTCTGGCATTTTGGCTCATTCCCTGAAAGGCCTTTTCATCATTATGTTATTGCAGCCTTTGAAATGTTGGTACGGCATAATGTGCTTCTTATTTTACAAACAAAATGAGAAAGCATGAAACTTCTACAGCAGCATTATAATCTGTTGAACTTTTTTAAGACCCAAATATATTAGTATAGCAGTAATAATTTGTTTCTGAATACTTCGATTATGGGGAAGAAAAATCATGGCCAAGCATCATCATTTCCAGACTGTTATTTCATTTCTAAACTAGTGTCATAATCTTAATTCAGATTCCATCAGTTTCCAGGGAACAACTTTATCCTATCGCCTCTTATGTTGGCCTACATTAAACTGAAATTCTTACCTCCCCAATTCCAAAGCTTCCCATTCACTCCTAGAGCCATTGTGAAGAAACCACCACAAGTCACTGCAGCTACAGGTCCAGGCAATGCTTTCACTCTGAAAGGAATACTCAGTCCCCCTCCCTCATTTGGGCCTCGACCAGGACCCAGACCCAATCTACCATCACCTTCATCTCGGCCCCAAGTATAGAGTTCACCTATGTCAGTGAACAAAAAAAAGAAAACAACTTTAATATGCAAAACCTGAAAATTCTTAACAATTTTTAAGAAAGAATAGGTGATACAAGTGTGAAAGTAAAGGTCAGGAGATCATGTAATTCACATTATACAATTTTATAAAAATCATCCCGTAAAATCTACAGGTACAGTAATATCATTAATTCACGATAACCATCTAGTCTATTTCAATTTGGTGTTATTCACAAATTACACATCAACCCCTTCATACAATTATCACTTATCAGCAGAGATCCTCACAGCATAGTTTTGTTTCCCGATGAGTGCGTAGCTATCTCAGATAGCAACAATTATTTATTACGAAGAGGATAACATATCTAGTTCTCATTTATATTTACATTAATCAAAATGCCCTCGAATCAATAAATATGGAAGCTTACACTTCAGTGCCTAAACGTTTTCAGATGAGTGAAATATTATGCCACTTCAGTGCCTAACTGTTCTTCAAAGTTCAACCTAACTTCTCAAGTAAAGATAATTTTGCTGTCTAAGATAGCATCAATACAGTGAGGGGGATAAACAACCTGATTCCGTGATAGCTGCAGTATGCGCCCCACTAGTTGCAATGTGCGTTATTCTACCTCTCCACGAGCCTTCTACCAGTCTAGGGGTCAGTTCTCTGTGATAAACAGAGTGACCAAGCGCACCAAAACCACCGTAACCCCTGGTAGCTTCATTTTTTAATGACCAAAGATCAAGTTGGGCAGTTCCAGAAAAAAAATCATGAAACAGGGAGTAAAGGAGCATCATTTCTAATTATAAACTGTCTTTCAATTGAAAGCATGAATTGTAGTTGACAATTGAAAAGGTATTATACAGCCTTTGCCAGGTAAACTCATGGACATGGGCAGCTATGAGTAAAACATTTAAATAGATTTTCTTCTGCAAACTGTATACACAATGATGTTTATAAAACAGTAATCTTAAAATTAGCACAGTTTAGTCCTCAATAACCGGATTCCAAAAAGACAGGGAGCTTCATATGATAAAAAGTTTCTATTTGTTCAACTTGTACACTCCTAGAATCGTGCCATTAAGAGCTAAGAATAAACATGAAACAGAATCACCCTTCGAGCTATTACAAGTGAACTCAGTTTGGCACAGATGGCTTCAACAGTAAAATGTACAACTAACACGAAAATGATAGAAAAACTGAAAACACATATATCACGTCGAGATACTGACCAAGTTAAAACCTGCCCAAGGGAGTTGAGCGCAACGGAATGCAGACCCCCAAGAGCAATGCAACGAAAACCATCAAAGTGAGGATTCAACGTCGGGACAAAGACAGGATTTTCATGGCCGAAACCGAGCCGGC